AGAAACACCATCACTTTGAGGCATTTCACTTGAAGTTTAATAGGAAACCAAATTGCCTTGATTTCTCTTATACTGCTAGATAGAATTGTTAAAATATTTCTGTATATTTAAATATTTAATCTGTTTTCAGATTATTTGATTAACAACAAATAAGTTTCAGGAGCATTTTATATTAGACAGAACCATTAATTTTCCATCTAAAGGAATAATAAGCTGGCAAACATGGAGCCAGATCCATCTCAAAAATACAATTTTTAGAAAATATAATTCATACATCCACAACACAATTCACATTTACAAAATCCAATTAGCAAATTCGAATCATGACATCAAAAATATGCAAATCCAATTCATAAATTCAAAACAAGATTCAAAAATACACAAATCATATTCGTAAATTCAAAACACAATTTGTAAATACGCAAATTCAATTGTTAAACTCAAAACAGAATTCAAATTTATGCAAATCCAATTTGTGAATTGAAAACATTATTTTAAAATATGCTAATCTAATTTGCTAATTAAAAACAAGATTAAAAAATATTCAAATTCAATTTATAAATTCAAAACACAATTTATAAATACACAAATCCAATTCGTAAATTTAAAACACGATTTAAAAATACACAAATCCAATTTTTATATAAAAAAATATGACTAAAAATATGCAAATCCAATTCATAAATTAAAAACAAGATTAAAAAAATACACAAATCCAATTTGTAAATTCAAAACACAATTTAAAAAAACACAAATCTTATTCATAAATTGAAAACACAATTTAAAAATGAGCAAATCCAATTCGTATTCAAAACACAAACTCAAAATTAACACAAATTCAGTTAATTTTGTGAAAATATTTATGATTTTTACTTGTGAATTGATGAATTGTGTTGTATTTATGAATTGTGTTTTGATTTTACAAATTGGATTTTGCAAATGTGTATTGTACTGTGTGCATGTGTGAATTTTATTTAGTAAAAATTATGATTTTTGAGGCTGATCTAGCTCTTTAAGTAAATCTTATTATATTAAAAGTCAACATAACGTTTTTGTAGAAGTGCCTTTTGATTTAATGAAAAAGAGGATGTGAACTATTTCTTACATTCACAATTTTTTTCACATGCTCCTGCAACTCACTTTTTATAAAAATTAATTACTGTAATTGCATAAAACATATTACTCCATAAAATTATATAAAACATATTATATGAGAGCTAGTTTAAGGACAGGACGCATGGATGAGCTGTGGATGTTAAAACTCTAGAGGACTTGCTGATATGAAATGTGCTGAGAAGCTGTTGCCAATGAATCACTTACATGAAGAGTTTTCAGAGACTAAATAGTTTTGTACATTACACTGGAAAACATGGTTGGGTACAGACCTACACGCATACCAATGTGCAGTTACATACTGTATACTGAGGGTCAGTGAGGAACTACAATATCTCTGGGTCATTTTGAACCTTCTTTTTTTTTTTTTTAACAATGTGCTAGTTTTTGGACTTTAGTGAAACATGTAGGTCTGTATAGCTCATGAGAATATGAAGAGTGTGAGAGGGCTGATCTGACTAGAACATATCCAATGTTCCACCTTTCAGCCTGCTTAAGGCGTTTATATGAAACTTAATGTGTGGGCTTTGTATATTATATAACAATTGTGAAATGTATTTTTTTAATAGTTTTATGAAGAGCCAGTTACAATTTATTGTTTTATAAGGGTTATTCATAGCATTTTTATTTTTATTTTGCTTTAATAATTCATCTAAAACCATTTTGGGATTTGTGAGGATTATGTGCATGTTTAGCTTGAAGGCACACTAGTGGCTATTTCTCCCTGTGATATATCCTTCAAAGAAAGGGCAGATTCAGAATAAATTACATTTCATATTTTGCAAGAACATGTAAATAGATCATGTGCCATTATCACATCACTACACTGTTTGAGATATAACTATAGCTAACAATTAAATACATCAAAGACTTTGAAAGAAAATGAACACATATTATCCACTTTTATGATCATTATTAAGCAAAATACAGATGTTGTTATGAATAATTCATTCAAATGAAGTTCAGGTACATTTTCTTCTAAAATGAGCATTTTTTCTCAGCCTCCTATGTTTATGTTCAGTCATTTTACTTCAAAGGAAATTAAAATAACCTACTTGTCACCATAAACCTGATATCACCAAACCTACAAACAAGAGTCTGAGAAAAATGCTTATTTTGTGTGAACAGTTTAGAACTCTAACTCAAATTTAGTTGAATCTTTTCTAGTTTTTTTAAATTTATTTTTAACTCAGTGAAAACCTGTTTGTTTCCTGTCTTCATTAAGCAGGAGTATCTGATTTGTGCCATATTGATAGTATCTATTATCAATCGCAGGAGGGCTCTTCACACTCTGTAATTGATTTTTTTTTTACATTCGGAAAACTGTAGAATCAGTAGGTTGAAGAGAGATGAGTCAGCTCTGATTCACTAGCCTCATTAGGCATTTATAAAACACAAATGGGATGATTTGTTAGATGGTGAGCTGAAACTGTAAATTAAACAACAGGTAAAGAAACCATGACTTTTCAATATGTGGATTTTGCTATCTCTGTTTATGCAATCTACACATAGGCAACAGGTCTATACATTGAATGAATCACTGTACAATATATATATATATATATATATATATATATATATATATATATATATATATATATATATATATATATATATATATATATATATATATATATATATATATGCATATATACAATACAATAATTCATATGAATAGTTAATTTAAAATGTTAATTTATTTACAAATTTGTGACTGTTTCATAAGTGAATCATTGAATTATTCATGTAACAGATTTATTCAAAGCACATTTATTTAATAAACAAAACAAGTGACCAGGCACGAGCACAGGAAGGGCTCAACCAGAACACGTGCCCTTTTTTGTCTTGGATTAAAATTGCCCCTCAGAAATGAATGTGCAATGTAAGTGCATCATCCAGGTATTTAAAGTGTTCTTATTCTTTTAAGAATTTTCAGTATGAATTTACAGCTTGTACTATTTATTTTACAAAATAGAAACGTTAAGCGCGAGTAATTTACATGTTAACTCAATACAAAGGTGCGATTAGACATCCTGTGGCACGATATGCACGAATGCCGTGGCGCGAATGACGAGAATTGCCCGGTGCGAATGGCGTGTTGGGAATTGAGCGTTTTGCATGTTGAAACCGCTTAGCGCACGAATCGCTCGAGTTTGAAAATCTTTAGCGGACATTTGCACCACGTTAACCAATCAGGAGCTTGCTCTTGTGAGGGCATGATTATGACGTAGCGCCTGTTGTTGGTGTCCAGGGGGAAAATCCTCCTGCCTACACTGACAACAGTTCATCAAACTGGGCTCGGCTCAGTCAGAAACACCGCTGAAAGCCTCCGTTCAGGTTAAGTTTCTGGAGGAGTTTATGAGCTCACAGAGCTGGGTGCACCTCTGAAAGGATCTAGTGGACTAAGACCAGGCTCCAAACGAATCGACGATGTTTTTCAGCCTTTCTAAAGCACATAAACACAGTTATTTTCTCAATAAAATTCATGTTAGCCATTAAGCAACAAAGCTACAGTCTCCGGGCAGACAGAAGCCCTGCCCATCACATGAATCCGTGTCTGTTCTGAAGTGAATTTGACGCGCGAATGAAGCGGATTTAACGCACAAATGAAGTGAGTAACTCAAAATGTTCTTGCGTCTCTTTATGCGTGAATAGCTCGATTTATTTGCGCATTTTGCGTCTGGTGTGAACACAGCATATTAGTGCACATGATTTGATACACACCTATTGCATCTTTCTTATAACTGATTAATTCAAAACACTGATTTATTCAGAATCATCAGAAACATTCACCCTTTTTGTGAGCATTCATTCAACTAATTGAAAAGACTGTCTTGATGAGTAAATTAAAAATGTGATTGTGAGGATTTATTTAAGCTGTTGATTTGTGCAAGGCACATTATTGCTTCTTTTCTCACTGTTTAGCACTTAGCATGCTAATATGTGCTATTGCTAGTTGAAGGTTTGCTACAGCTACTACAATTCAGTCATATACTGTAACAAAATATATACGATGCTGAACTAACTAATAGTGTCAGGGAAGCATAAAATACCTTTTTACTGCTTAATTGAGTCACTTAATATGACTTTAGTTTGAAATTAAGCTATTGATGTACGCAGAACCGAGTTATATGATGAAATCATGAAAACCCAGCACACATTTTTTGTATATTCTCTTTTTATTGAACCGATGCGTAGCAGCAGCAACATCAGACTCACAGTCATGCTGTTGGCCTGAATACACTGATATTGGATTTACTCCAGGGATATTGTCTAAATATAAACACAAAGCACTTGCAAGGCAGACTGAATTCGTTTTGCATCATTCTGAAGCAATGCTGGCTCTATGAAATCATTCTTTTTTTGAATTTTATTAAGGATTTTTATCTGTTTATTAACACCACAGGCATCCCCATTCATTCACTGACCTCCTTCTGATATTAGCTCACATCCATCAATCAGAGCAGCCTCTGATTGGTGCAGAAGACTGGAGGAGGAGCCTACGCTCAGCATGCCAGACCGTAGCAGTGGGGGCAAGAGCATCTCACTCGCCTGCCTGCCAAAGTGCCGTAGACACTCTGGAGACCGACTGCCTCACTCTTAATGCTGCATATTGCTGTTTGCACTTCAACAGAGTCAGTGTTTCCTGATTTAGTCAGTCAGCGCTGTCTCCCGTCCTCTGATTGTCTATTCTTCTTGTGTGGGAGGCTCTTTCTAGGACATTTTTGTCGCTTTGGAGGAAGAGTTATCGCAGAGGTGAGGTGACGGATGCTGACACAATACTTGCTTTCTCTGATCTACATGGTGGATGATGTTTCATCACACCTGCAAGCCTGATGAATTCACCAGACTGACTTAAACAGGGATCAATCAGACGATTCAAGGAAATGAACACCTCACATCATCATGGACTGCATCATTCATTTCGGAACCACAGCCAAGGAGCTCTGCCGGTGGGAAAGCCCTCTCATGGTGACAGAGGATCAGCTTCTGGATGCTACGAGCAGCTGCTGATCTCCACGGAGATCTTCCTCACGCTCGGCCTGGTCAGCCTCCTGGAGAACATCCTTGTGATTGCAGCCATCGTCAAAAACAAGAACCTACATTCCCCTATGTACTTCTTCATCTGCAGCTTGGCTGTAGCAGACTTGTTAGTGAGTGTCTCCAATGCTTCGGAAACAGTTGTGATGGCGCTCATCACTGGAGGCAACCTGACCAACCGTGAGAGCATCATTAAGAACATGGACAACGTGTTTGACTCTATGATCTGCAGCTCTCTGTTGGCCTCCATTTGGAGTTTGTTGGCCATCGCGGTGGACCGCTACATCACAATCTTCTACGCTTTGCGCTACCACAACATCATGACCCAGCGGCGGGCGGGCACCATCATCACCTGCATCTGGACCTTCTGCACAGTCTCCGGCGTACTCTTTATCGTGTATTCAGAAAGCACCACTGTTCTCATCTGCCTCATCAGCATGTTCTTCACCATGCTGGCGCTCATGGCCTCACTCTACGTCCACATGTTCCTTCTAGCCCGGCTGCACATGAAACGGATCGCCGCCTTACCTGGAAACGGCCCGATATGGCAGGCGGCGAATATGAAGGGCGCCATTACCATTACTATACTACTGGGGGTGTTTGTGGTGTGCTGGGCGCCCTTTTTCTTGCACCTCATCCTCATGATCTCCTGCCCGCGGAATCCTTATTGTGTCTGCTTCATGTCACACTTCAACATGTATCTGATCCTCATTATGTGCAACTCGGTCATAGACCCGCTCATATATGCCTTCAGAAGCCAAGAAATGAGGAAGACCTTCAAGGAGATCTGCTGCTGCTGGTATGGACTTGCATCTCTGTGTGTATAAGTGCCGATTTTATTCTGACAGCACTTAGCAACTGGAAGATGCTGAGAATTTTGTGTATGGTAATTCTACTGTGCAGATGTGATACTGTGGTCATGCTGACCAAACAAACCTCCTTGTGATGAGCTCATTTAAATGATTTTTCGTTTAGTTTTTTCACTGACGTGCTGTTTTAGGGTGTTTATTTCTGTATAGAAGTGTTGTTGATTTCAGCTGCCGAGTAATACATCGAAAAGTGCCAGTATGTAAAAGCAATCTGTGGCACTGTGTGTGTTGTGATATTGGTGGCACGAGCACGTGCACAACATTTGGCAACTGTGATTATGTTCTGTTAGCAGGTTGGTCTCCTGATTTTTCAGCCTGAGGGCTGTTGCAGCTTGATAAATGTTACAGATTGCATTTATTTTTATATTTTGTAAGTTAAGGAGATGTTATTTATTTATTTTTTGCAACGCCATCTCATTGTGCAAATAAAACTACATCAAAAATATTAAGCATGGCTAATAGATTTTCTTGCAGTGATACTAGATTTGATTTATGTATGAGGATCTTATTCTTGTCACTGTGCCACAGTGGCGCAGTGGGTAGCACGATTGCCTTACAGCAAGAAGGTCGCTGGTCCGAGCCGCGGCTGAGTCAGTTGGCATTTCTGTGTGGAGTTTGCATTTTCTCCTCGTGTTTGCGTGGGTTTCCTCCAGGTGCTCCGGTTTCCCCCACAGTCCAAAGACATGTGGGGTAGGCTAAATTGTTCGTAGTGTATGTGTGTGAATGGGAGTGTATGGGTGTTTACCAGTGATGGGTTGCAGCTGGAAGAAACTTTCAGGAAAAATTGATCAAATATTTTTTTAACAGTGTAACATTACAATTCCAAATGTGTAATCTACTTAAATACACATTTATAGTTATTAAATCAAATATAATTATATGGTATGATTCAATTGAATAAATGTATCAAAATATTAAAAGGTAAACTATCAAATAAATAAATAAATAAATAAATAAATAAAAATAATAATAATAAAATAAATAAATATAGCTCTGTCTATCGACTATCTATCAACTGTCTAGTTCTGACTATCAACAACAAAAAAAAACATATAGCTTAAAGGGGCTAATAATTTTGACTTAAAAATGTTTTTTTATTATTATTAAAAACTGCTGTTATTCTAACTGACATAAAACAAATAATATATAAGAAAAAAAATGATCAGACATAATGTGAAAATTTCTTTGCTCTGTTAAACATCATTTGAGAAATATTTAAAAAAGAAAAAAGAAATAAATCAAAGGGGGGCTAATAATGGGGACTGACATCAACTGTATGTATTATAATATATAACACGTAAACATTACACATACAGTTGAAGTCAAAAATATTAGCCCCCCTACAATTTTTTTTATTTTATTTTTTTATATATTTCCTAAATGATGTTTAACAGAGCAAGGAAATTTTCACAGTATGTCTGATAATATTATTTTTTCTGGAGAAAGTCTTATTTGTTTTATTTTGGCTAGAGTAAAAGCTGTTTTTTATTTTATATATTTTTTAACCCATTTCAGGGACAAAATTATAAGCCCCTTTAGGGTAATCTTTTTTCCGATAGTCTACAGAACAAACCATCATTATACAATATATTGCCTAATTACCCTAACCTGCCTGGTTAACCTAAATAACTAAAAACTAGTTAAGTTTAAACGTCACTTTAAGCTATATACAAGTGTCCTAAAAATATCTAGTCTAATATTTTACTGTCATCACGACAAAGATAAAATAAATGTTATTAAAAATGAGTTAATAACACTATTATATTTAGAAATGTGTTGAAAAAAAAATATTTTCTCCGTTAAACAGAAATTGGGGAAAAATTAAACAGGGGGGCTAAAAATTCTGACTTCAACTGTATATAATAATATATGACATATTATAATAATTTTTTTTTTTTACCAAAATGATGCGTTTTTACATGTTAGAAAAGGATGAGGCAGTAAGAATGGTAGGCCATGACATGTTAAAGCCTGTAAAGCCCTGATATAGGCTATTTATATTGGTTTACTTCAGATTTCATTCACTTTGGCTCCAGCTTTACCGTCATGGAGCTCAAAAGTTAAATCTCCATTACAGCTGGCAGAAGATTGCCTGAGGCTGGCTTTTTTGTCACTCTGTTTTGAAGGTTACCATAATGTGCTGGAGAGACTCTCATCTAGCGCAACAAAAGAAAGAATTTCTGTCAGTTTGCGCATACACTAAGCTCTCTCATATGCATGTTTTCTTTCTTCCTACAGAAGTATTACTTGACCTTTAAATCAAGGCCAGCTTAGCAAAAGGTATTGACGAAAATATTGTGAACATTTCTCTCAGCATGCTGAGGTCTATAATACCTGGAGAAAGCTGTCAGCTGGAATTTCTATGATCATTTACTGTGGCTCAGATGGTGCCTCACCACGAAGAAGGGACCCTCTGCAGGCTTTGATCATGGGCTCTGTTTCCTAATTACAGGTGGTTTTGTGCCCAAGCCGTCTGTGACAAGGTATTTTAGAGTCACATTGATGAAATGACACCTTGACAATTCGAACTGGTGAATGACCCTACAAGAGCCACAGTCGGTCCCAAAACCTTGACTCATATGAAGTTCAGCAAGGGGGTAAAATGTAAGTCTACACATATGCAGTGAAAAGTCAAAATTAATTATTTTTTAAAATTCTTTTTTAAATATCTCTGAAATGCTAAACCACAGAGAGCAAGGACAACTTCACAGCGTTTCCTATAATATATATATATATATATATATATATATATATATAAATAAAAAAAAAAAAATATATATATATATATATATATATATATATATATATATATATATTTTTTTTTTCCGGAGAAAGTCCTATTTCATACAGTTGAATAAAAGCTTTTTTTGGAAAAAAGGTCAGTATTATTAACCCCCTTAGTAAATGTACATTCACCAGCTACTTTACTAGGTACACGTTACTAGTACTGGGTTGAACCCCTTTTGCTTTCAGAATTGCCTTAATCCTTCATGGCATTGATTCAACAAGGTACTAGAAAATTCCTCCGAGATTTTGGTTCATATTGACATGATAGCATCATGCAGTTGCTACAGATTCGTCGGCTGCACATCCATGATACGACTCTCCCATTCCACCACATGCCAAAGGTGCTCTATTGGATTGAGATCTGGTGACTGTGGAGGCCATTTGAGTACCGTGCATTCATTGTCATGTTCCAGTCTGAGATGATTTGCGCTTTATAACATGGTGCATTATCCTGCTGGAAGTAGCCATCAGGAGATGGGTACACTGTGGTCACATAGAGATGGACATATATACTCAGGTAGACTGCAGTGTTGACACGATGCTCAATATGTACTAATGGGTCCATTGACACGATCTTCAATTGGTACTAATGGGCCCAATGCGTGCCAAGAAATGATTCACTATACCCTTACACCACGACAACCAGCCTAAACTGTTAATTCAAGGCAGGATAGATCCATGCTTTCATGTTGTTGACTCCATATTCTGACCCTACACTCTCAGAAGTAAAGGTACAGAATTGTACCTTTTAAGGTACAAGTGGCCCGTCACTGGGGTGGTACCCTAAAACGTACAATTTTGTTTCTCTATTTAGAGGTACAAAATTGTACCTTCTACATTTGTACCAATTAAGGGACAATCTTGTACCTCCAGGGATCTACACTAATACAAAGACCACATGAATACGGTTTAAAATCTATAAACACATTAAACAGGCTACATCAAGTACTGCACTTTAAAAGCACTTTTAAAGTCCAAGGTATTTGTCTTTTGCCAAAATACTCAGTCTACATAAATAATTTGTCACCAACATTTTCTTTGTATTTCAGAAGGCAACATGTTTCTCTATAAATTGCTTCAACAGTGCAGAAAACCATAAATATCAGTAGGCTCTTCCTCAACATCAGTAGATTCATCCTCAACTTCCTTAAGTGGAGTTGTACTTTGTTATAACACAATAAGTTTATGCGTTTGGTAAACATGACATGTAAGGCACTCATAATTGGAAAATGATCTTTGATAGTCATTAGGTTATTTAAAAAAATGCTTCATGCATGAATGACAGCAGTGAGATGAACTCTGGTTACTGGAGTAGGTTGAGGCTTGTCACCATCCACAATTCATCAAAACATTCCCTCTCAGAAACATCAAGGTGTTCTTCAACTGAGATAGATTTGTCAAATATTTATATTCGTCCAATGTAAATGTAAATCCCATCAACTCTGAAGAGTACTATGACTTGTCTTGTTAACACAGTTGTCCAGTCGGTGGTCTCCTCCTGTACTTGAACTGTTGGATGTGGTGAAAATGGTTCACTGTAAATGACAAAGGATTAATCAGATTAATATTAGTCACCCCATCACTGATGAAGAGATAATCAACATGCATAGAAAGTAAATAATTAATATTTGCTAAAGTATAACAGTTAAAAGGAATAACATAAATTTCATTCATTCATTTTCTTTTCCATTTAGTCCCTTTATTAATCAGGGGTCACCACAGCGGAATGAACCGCCAACTTATCCAGCACATGTTTTAAACAGCGGATGCTTTTTACGCTGCAACCCTCTTAAAGTCTCTCAAAGGACATCACTAGTATTTCATGGGGGTACTGGAGGGATTGGTTCTATCGTGCCCCTAATAATATCTCTGGGAGCCCCAAAATGGCATAGACCCTTAGAATCGTCCTAACTTTCCCACCCCTAGCCACGCCCCTGCTCACAGGACATTTCAAGTCTCTTACAGGTTATCGCTATTCTATCACAGGACATCGCTTGTCTCTTGCAGGACAACAGTAGTCTCTCACATGACACTAGTCTCTCACAGACATCACTAGTCTCGCAGAGGACATACAGTAACTAATCTCTCACAGAATATTCTGAGTCTCTTACACTTTAACTTGAAACATGAATTAAACTTATATTAACATATACAGCATGGACATTCTTTCT